TGGGACCGGCACGACTTCCTGATTTCAAACAACAAAGAAACAAACTCACAGCTGACACTCATCTCCTTTTATGCCCTTGGTGGTGCAGAAGCACTTGCCGGTGTTGGTGTTGCAGACGGACGCGTGGCCGTTGCACTTGCAGGCTGTGGAGCAGAGGGGGGAGAAGACACAACACTGAGCCAGGCAGGAGGAACAAACTCGACAGCAATTAAGTCCTTCAGCTGCCAAACTGAGCTACACCAACAATTAACGTGCAGATGAAAACCCATTTGGTGCTCTTTGCTTCCCTTTTGTGCAGCCAAAAATAGAACCCCGCATCAAAACAGAGCGAGCGCGGCCCCAGGACTGATGTTTGTAGGAAATCATCACCTGACTGAGATTTTTAGCCTCAAAAATTTATTTGACTTCCTCTCCCGTTGACACACGGCAGCGGGGATGTCATGACTGGCGAGGGGAATAATGTTTGGAGTAGTTTTGGGCTTGCTAAGACACCTCAGCCAAACTCAGAACTCTTCAGAGAAGAGTTTGGAAATTCAAACAAAGCTGGTGGGGCTTTTAGGGCCTTTTCTAGAAATAAATAAATAGGAGAAAATAATGTCTCAATAGTCCTATTGAGAAAATAACGTCCTTGTCAACAGTGTCAGCAGAAAACATCTGGTGCCAAGAAGACGATGTCCACGTTGGAATTTGGGGCACACTCCCCAATATATTTTAGGATAACTTTGAGATGAATGTCAGGGGGTTGTGGTTGAAGAAAATCAGCAGAGTTCTGGACTTCCCTCAGGCTTGGGGCCTGCCAAAAATAGCCCAGTTTATATAGAGTTAGACCTGAGTTTGCTGGAGATCCAACCCAAGGTCCCACGGTGGGGACACACGGGAGATTCGCTTCCCAAAATACTCCTGGTTCAAACTAAATGCTCATGTTGATACACTTTGACACCTTTATTCATAAAGGTGGAGAGGAGGAACATAAAAAAAAAAAAAAAAGGAAAAAAAAACCAAACTCAAAACCAAATCAACAAATTGGAACAAAACCAACACAACCAGCTGTCCCGGATGTCATGTGGAGAAGAGTGGAGAGAACAACTTTTCAGCCTTTAAGGAATTGTTCTCCCAGTGAAGGTGCATCCACCTGGAGCTGTGCACGGGAGAGGGTACAAAACAAGAAAGAAAAAAGTGCACAAAGAGAAAATCCCTTGTTTATGACCCCTGAGCTTGCTGGGACCAGGCTGCTTTAAGGTCTAGAGCCTCCTCGTTAAGAGACATAAAATCCTTCTCATTAATGGGCCACTCAAGGTACCAGCGGATTCTTAGACATCAAGTCCCCATCCTGAATATTCCTGCCAGCTTTTGACCTTTTTTTAGGGCTCCTTTTGATGTCCCCTTTCTTTCTGTTGGCACATAATGGAAGAATATTGTATCAGGGACACTTAATTGTGCCTCTCGGAGGTGGGTGAGTGGTTTCCTAGCAGCAACACGGAGCAAAATAGGAAGAAGCATAAAGGCTTATTGTGGGAACAAGGAGCCTGAATGAAAATTCGACAAAATAATTGTCTTCTGTGAAGGGAAACACACTTTTCATTAGTGGCACTTAAAGAAAAATAAGTCTCAGTACTGCTGAGAATGTCTTGTACTTCCTTCCTCCTGCTTTGCACGAGGGAAGCAAAGCGACGTCGGATCAATATTCAACATGAACACACATAAAATTCCTCCTAATTTTTAAGTTCCATGCTGTTTAGAGGCAGATTGCAGCATCTTGAGCATTAACATTAATGTTTTCCCCCTCCCTGCTCTTCAGCCTCGTGCTTATCAAGAAGCCTGAACACTGAAACATCTCTATTTACAACAAGAGAATCTATTTCTTTATCCGTTTTCCTCCAAGACTACAACTAGAGATTAATTACTGAAGGGCTGGAATCTGCACTAAGAGACACCTTCAAGTGGTTTTTTTAAGAACTATGAACCTGGGAAACAAACTGTGGATAAAATGTACTGGATGTCCTCACTGGAGTCTCCAAACGACCATTTCCCTCCAGAGTCAGAGATGCCAGAGCAGACAAGCCAAAATTTTTTGGAAATGGTTTTTTGCCTGTGAATGCTGGTAAGAGTTTGATGCTGAACTACCCCATGGTGACTCTCCTCCCACCTCCTCCACAAACCACAGGTCACAGACTCATTCAGAGACAGACACAGGGATCTTTACTCCTCTTCCCGCGTTTCTGACAGCCCAGTTTCCCCATGGAAACACCATCACCCACCAGCCCAAGGCCATTTTTCCATTCCACGTGCTCTACCTGCCCTCCAAGGCCTGGGGGAGCCCTGGGAGGGGGGGACAGGCAGGACACAGCACCAGCAGCTCCTGGGCCACCAGCAAAGGCTCCATGGAAGTGTTGGGAAGCGCTGCCACAGCCACAATCTGATCCCAGGCATAATAGAGCCTTCCCTTGGCTTGCAAATAACATCCTTATCTCCCACCAGCATATTTTCATGGGGAACTTTAATCAGAGGATTCAAAAAAACCCTCCTGAATGCAGAGAAAGCACCTTGCAGCTATTTTTACATTTGATGTGCTGCGTTTCCTGCCCTTCCTGATTAACACTCCTCGACTTGGACACCTCCTAAAAGCAACCTCTGAGCAGTGATTTACCTGCCATTTAGGTATTACCTGCCCAGCTCTGCCAACACCAGGCATGGGATGCAAACGGTCCTTTCAGGGAAATAACTGCAGCTTGTCAACATTTTTCCAACACAAAGGGATATAACCTTGTGTTGGGATTTTTACAGGGGTACCTAGTGATGGAACAAGGGATGATGGCTTCAAATTACAAGAGGGTAGGATTAGATGGGATATTGGGAAGGAATTGTTGGCTGGGAGGGTGGGCAGGCCCTGGCATAGGTTGGGCAGAGAAGCTGTGGCTGCCCCTGGATCCCTGGGAGTGTCCAAGGCCAGGTTGGAGCAACCTGGGCTAGTGGAAGGTGTCCCTGCCTATGGCAGAGGGTGGAACTGGATGGGCTTTAAGATCCCTTCCAACTCATTCCATGATCCTATGGATCATGATCCTAAGGATCCATGATGCCTCACACTATCAGTGAGTGTGCAAACACAGGGATAGTTTTGTGTCAGGCTGGAATGTACAACAACCACCTCCAGCACGGATGGGACTGTGGGCTCTGAACACAGAGCAGCACAAAACATGGCTCACAAATGCACAAAAAGAGTGGAATCAGCACATTATTAATGGGAAAGGAAGGAGGGATGTGGCTCAGAGGAGGGGGGGAAGCAGGAGCTGGCTCTGCTGCCCATCAGGCAACCCTTATCTGAACAATTCCCCTCTGGAAAGCTTTCCACTGAGCAGAAATGACTGATGGGCAGGAGTCACCCTGGCTGCATCAGACAGGCTGATTTGCTCTCCTTGGCCTTTCCCAGCCTCCTGCTTCCCTCTCCCTTCTGCCTTCCCCGTAAATAGCGTTAAATCACAGCAAATTAAAACCCTGGGCCCAGAGCGCCGGAGAGCAAAGCACTTGTGCCATGAGCTGCTGCTCCATCAGATAAGGACTGAAAGCTGCTCCACAGGCCCTCAACACGTTTTCTAATTTGTTTTTCGGGCATCTGGATGATTTCAGCCTGTCATTCATTACCTCAACAACAAACTGGTTTGGGACGATCCTCGCGAGGGAGAGTCCAAAAAGGAACTCGCTCCCCATCTCCGCACGCGCGGAAAAGCAACACCTTCCAACAGGCACGTTGTGATCCAGTGATTAAACTGAAAGCTCAGGGCAGGATTTTGTATCTTCTCTAGCAGCTCGGCCTCAATTTATTCATCCCTGCACTTCAAATTATCTCCACCCGAAATGAGTTTACGAGTATCAGCGGTGTTTAATCTGCCAGATAATGTCGTGAAATCAAGTGTCAGAAACACTTTCTCCTTTGTAGCTGTGTTGTAAAACCCTTTTCTCTAAGGAAGGTAGACATATCCCTGTATTGTTTCCCCCCCCCTGCTTCCAGGACTCTGCCCACTGGGAAGGTTTTTGCAGCCCCAAACATCACCACCTCGCTCTTGCTTGGGGAAACAGGATGTTCATGTTCCAGCTACAGACTCCCACCTTCATCCAAAAGGTCAGTGCTACTCCCAGTAAACATATTCAATGAATATCCAAGGATTTTCTAATGGATTGTCTCCTTGGAAGGAGAAACTCAAAGTCTTCAATGTCCACTTGTTAACCACCTTCACCTCTTTCTTCCAGGATGGCTGCAAACCACCCACACTCATTTCATGGCAGCACTGCCACTGCTCTGCCACCAGCACTGGGATGTCTGTTCTACCCTTCCAGCCCTGTATGATTGTCTCACTCCACCCAGTGATATTCCATCAGCAGAACCCATGGGGATGGTGCTGTTTAACATCTCTGCTGGTGACAGGGACACAGTGGGACTGAGGCACCTCAGCAAGTTTGCCGGTGACCCCGAGATGTGTGGTGTGGTCACGGGCTGCAGGGAGGGGATGGATTGGCATCCAGGGGGAGCTGGACAGGCTGGAGAGGTGAGAATGTGGGAAACTCATGACTTGTCCTTTCAACAAGGA